TTTAAATTGATTTTAACTTTCATAAATGCTAATAACACTAATATTTTAATGTCTATCTCAAGAACATTGACAATGGAAATTTGGACATTAAGAGTGCAAAACCTAATCCCTTATACTAGCTATAATCATTTGCAGAGTAAACAATAGAATATCCAAAACTTACTAATGATACTCATCATTTTAGTAGCAAATGCTGCTCATGTTTAAAAAAATTAAAAAATAGCTTTTATCTGGATTAAATGTCTGTCTGGCACTTAATTTGTACTGGAGTGTGGAGAATTTATGTAACTTTGATACCCTCTAGCTGTACTGTATCATTTTTTTTAAAGTACGGTTGATGGTCCCCAACAAGTATTATAAAGTCTTTTTATAAAGATTTATCTCAAGACATATAGCTGTTTAAAATTAGTTTTTAGCCACCTAGATGCTTGTGTTATATAAGCAAAGCCATATAACTTGTCAGATGTTTTTATGATTAAAGCTATCCAGCTAGCTTAAGGAACAGTGGTGGTTCTACTATGGGACCCGTTAGCGCCTGAAATAATGCATAGAATGGCACCTGGGGTCTTTCTCCACCAGTAAAGCTGGAAAGTGATCCTTATTTTAATCTGGACGACTCTGGTGAAAGCGCGACACAGTGAACTGAGTCATTAGTTTTTTTTGTAAATAAGCTGGTTCAGTCTGGAATTATCCAATAAACACTATTTTACAGTTTGAACAAAATTTTATTGAAGTTAGAAGTCATCTGATAACATTTACAAAACATAAAGTTAAATAATACATTTTCCACATTATTATTATTATTATTAGCTTTAATTTATGGTAGAGACAAAAGTATAAATATTACTCGCAATATTTCTCACACCTGGTAAATGATAGAGCTACTTCTTTTGGAGGCATACCTTAAATCGCTCTATCTCTACTTTCGAGCTAGTTCATGTTGCTAAAATCAAGTGTCAAGTGTCATTTTTAGCTCGACTACTCGCCCCGGCGTCGGCTTTCAGATTATAGTTTTGGTGCGGTAAAATATTTTTCACTATAACTTTTACATTTCTTAAGGTATCAACTTCAAACTTCAAATATATGTTCCTTATCATCAACTACATTTTATGTGACAAGGTTCATAACTCTAGCACAAATAGTTTCAGATGTATCTCCCCTTGAACTTAGAATTTGTCTTAAAAATATTATTTTTTACTGTTACTTATATACTTAAGGGATCAACTTCATACTTCAAATAATATGTTTCCTATCATCAACTACATCTTATATGACAAGGTTCATAACCCTAGCACCAATATTTCAGATTTATCTCCCCTTAAACTTAGAATTTTCCTTAAAAAATATTAATTTTTACTGTTACTTATCTATTTCTTAAGGGATCAACTTCATACTTCAAATACACGTTCCTTATCAGCAACCACATCTTATGTGAAAAGGTTCATAACCCTAGCACCAATATTATAAGAATTATCTCCCCATAAACTTAGATTTTTTACTTGAATAATGTTTTTTTTTTACTATAACTTCTTTAGTTTTAAAGGTATCTACCTCAAACTTCAAATAATATCTTATGGCACAAGGTTCATAACTCTTGAAGCAATATTTTCATATTGATCTTTCTTTGAACATAGGATTTTCTTTAAGAAATATTAAAACTTCTTTACTTTTTAAGATATCTACTTAAATTCAAACTTCAAATATATATTTCTTATCATTACACACATGTAACAATGTGTGACAATAACTCTAGCATGACTATTTCCAGAATTATTCCCCTTGAACTTGGAATTTATGTTAAAAAATGTTATTTTTTTACTATAGCTTAATACATAATATATAATTCAATTTTCTGTCATAGATTTTTCTTCCTTACTGCGTCCAGTATTTTATTAGTCGAACTTTACTGTCTCCTGTGACAGCTCTTGTTTATATATTTTGTAAACTCTTCACCAAATATCAAAATTCGGAGAATGCTATGCCATGTAGATTTAATTAAAGTTTCCAGAAAACATAAAGTTGTTTTAATTGCAGGGGCGGATACAGAACATGGTTTCCTGGGGGTGGGGGGCTGACATATGGGTGGAAGATTTTTGTAAAAATAACGCAACAGGTGAAAACTGTGCATGTATAAATTTTATTTAGAAAATATAACTGTCATAAAAAGTTATTTAAAGTAAATGACCAATCTTTTCATCCTAATAAAAATATTAGTAAAACTATTTATTAAAATGCGATTCCTTTAATATTATCTTCATAAAACTTGCCATTTTTTTAATTTAAAAATAATAATTTTCAATTACTTAATTATAGGGCTTTCGCAAAGAAAATGGAAAAACTAAGATAGTAAAATATAGTGTACAATGTAACACATCTATTTGCCACTATCTGTAATATTAATTTCATTAGACCTTTGGAAAGTAATAAACCAATCAATTGTGCAGTTTAAACATTGAAGTCATTCAAGCATGTTGATAGATAAAGATCTCTGCCAAGCCCCCAGGCAGGACATTAACAACTGGATGACAGCAATAAATATTTTGATAAGGGAGTGCACTACAGCCAATAAAGTTTGAAACTGACAAAAATATATACCAGCCCAGCTGGTAAACGTATCTTTGGGCCAAGCTGGGGCGGCTGCAGCCCTGAAGCCCGGGCCTGAATCCGCCACTGAATTGTGTTTGAAATGTAGTTTTGGCGGCATTTCCCAGTTAACGAATTTAGTGTTGAAATGAACTGTTTCATCATGAAACAGATTATTTTTTTCTCCAATTTTCATTTAAACAGCGATTCAGATTAAAAATAAATATGTTCCAAGTAGATATAAGATTGAAATCAGATCAAAACATTAGTTAATAAAGATAATATAGGATATTTGTTCTGCGAGACAGCTTTGTCGTGAAGGAGGTAGTCATGTCGCTAAGGGTTTCAAAGGGGACTAAGTGAAAAAGATCTTCATGATGTTGATACAACGAGTATCATTATGTATAAAGAAATCAACCTTTTGACAATACTTGTTTTATATTAGCAGTTATTCCTGCTACATCATTCACAAAGTGATCTTACTTTTATCCCAACTTCAGGATAAATAGTAAGCTGTACAAATGTGAACACTGTGTACAAACTGCATGAGACTTGACATTTTCATTTTTAAAGAATTTGAAAAATATGGATTCTGATGCGTAATGTGCCTTTAACTTTCATTTACACTGATTACTTGATGCCAGTGCTGACAGCAAAACCCTGCAAAAAATCTCAGTCAAGAATTTAAGAAGTTAATTTAAGGGTCTTGCTCATTGATGTATTAGTATTAATATGGCCATCATCAAAGAGGAATGATCACTTCAGTTATTGGGAATTGAGAACCTACAAACGAAACCTCAGACAGAAAGTTCTGGATGAGCGGAAATTCACACATATTTTTTACCGATGGTCAATTTTGAGATCCATCTGGGGTTCCATCCCACTTGTCAAATATGTACCAATTATCTGATAGTTTGATTGTTTTGGGGTATGACCCTTTTCTAGGAGCTTGTGAGTACTAAATGTGTAGATTTCAAATATTTTACGGCACAATCAAAGTAAATGCTAATTTTGTTTGGCTGCAACAGCAGCTTTTCTCTTTTAGACATATAGTCCCTTATGCAAATGGTTTTTATTCACACTATGTATCATTATCTTGGTACATGTATATTAATGAAAACATAAAACCTGTTACACCACACAAGTGATACACACATTTTTTAAAAAAACAAAGATTTTTATTGAAATATAGTATATATTAGATTATTTTCCAATGAATGCATAATAAAGAGAGTTCTGGAATAAGGTTGCTGGTTCGAACCCGAGAGGCCATTGTACATTGAAATCAGTCTTATACAAGAAGAAAATACAACAATTTATGTTATAACTTTTTTATTTCTTTTGGCGAACAATTTCCATCATGACTGGGTATAAAAACAAATTTTAGAACTTTATATATACACATCATATTTGCTCCGACAACGGTCGCAAATAGAAATACGTTATGTTAAATTTCAGCTGAGAGGAGTAGTCAAATATGAAATATTGCAGAATTATTAACACAATTGATATGCACCGACAACGGTTACACGCGTTATGTATGTCCGATATTTCACACTAAACTTTTCAGTGTCCTTTGGATCATATAGTAGTTTGCAAGAGCACCGACAACGGTTGCATCAAGCAATTGACTAATGTCTATTCAATTAGCAATTGGCTGTAATTTAAGTACTCCGTCGCCCAGCATATAACATTTGTCCCAGTCATGACGAAGCGTTGGGTGATATAGTGATTCCTGAAATGTAAAACAAAGCACAGCAGAAAAAGGGGTTGCGGAGGTTGGGAAATTAAAACCTTATTTAAGATTTTTACAAAAATATTAAAATATGATCAGCAGCTACTTTTCTCATAGAGTTCCAGACCGAAAAGGAAGCAGCGGGCTCGCGCAGCTCCTTATATATAGTGTTCTAAATATAGCTCCAAGACTGGGCATGCGTATTGATACGCAGTTCAACTGATCGATAAATTAAGAAATGTGTCATTCATGTAAAATAAAAGAGTTTAATCTTGAATGATTAAACTTTGATATTATTTTCCAATGAATGCATAATAAAGAGAGTTCTGGAATAAGGTTGCTGGTTCGAACCCGAGAGGCCATTGTACATTGAAATCAGTCTTATACAGAAGAAAATACAACAATTTATGTTATAACTTTTTTATTTCTTTTGGCGAACAATTTCCATCATGACTGGGTATAAAAACAAATTTTAGAACTTTATATATACACATCATATTTGCTCCGACAACGGTCGCAAATAGAAATACGTTATGTTAAATTTCAGCCAAAAAGGGGCTCGAAGAATGAGAGTACCTTCCGCCAAAGCGGTTTAACATAACGACTTAACCCAGCCACGTTGCAAAACTAAAAAAAAAAAAAATTAATATTAGAAACATGATTTATATACACACACATATATATCTACTTTAAGGAATTACTAACAACCAATACAGTCACTTAATCACATCGGGAAGATAGGACTGTTGAGTTTCCTGAATGAATAAATTGCTCCGGAAATACTATTCAGCATAAGGTCGTAACCAGTGGGCGACAAGTGTGTATCGTCGTACCTAAAGAACATTGGGGCGAGAGTTATATCCGGGTATTTTAGGTAGTGACCCCCGCCATTTATGACATAGGTGGCTATAGAGCTGTTTATACGTTTTCTTGCTCGGTCTGCGTGATATACATCCGGCATATAACGCCATGATCGCCTTGGTAAAATCTGTGACCAAATTATTTTTGTATATGGAAACTTACTTCTGATATTATCTATAATTATTTTGAGATCCGCAATAATAGCAGCAGATGTTTTAAGGCCTATATCATTGCCTCCACAATGAATAAGAATATAAGTCGGGGGATCATTCTGCTTAAAGGAAGTTAAGTAGGCTATACTTTGTTCGAGATCCTCGATTTTCATACCACCCATATGTTCCCATACAAGATTACCACCAATAGTTTTCCGTAACCCTAGATTCACGCCGTCTGGTCTTGAACACAGTCTCTGATATGCACCGCTTATAATGGAGGAACCAATTATCCAGACATTAAAGGAACCTGAAAATTTGGAGCTTAATCGTCAATATTTATGTATAGGAATCCGACAACGGTCTACCTATACAGTGATAGCAAATGTTACTTAAGTTGCCAAAAGCGGATCGCCGACCAATAACAACCTTATATATGGCGTTTGAGTTAAGAATTTATACCATCAATCGATCTGGTATTATTATCATAATTATATTTGTCACATTATCATTATCATTCTGCAATCATATTATCATTTCGTCATTATATTTATCAACCTATCATTATACTATTGCAACGACTATTATAATATTGTCGTTATCATCACGTAATCATTATCTTTATCAAATTATCATTAGTCTGAAATTATTATCATAACAACACAGACATTATGATATTATTGTCAAACAGTCATCATTATCTTTATCAAATTATCATTCATTTTCTGAAATTATTATCATAGCAACAGACATTATGATGTTATTATCATCATGTCCTCATTATCTTTATCAAATTATCATTATTCTGAAGTCATTATCATAACAACACAAACATTATGGTGTTATCACAGTCATTTCATCTTTATCTTTATCACATTATCATTTCTATTGAGAAACCATTATTATAACAACACAAACATTATGATGTTATTATCATCATATCATCTTTATCTTTATCTTTATTATTTCATCTTTATCTTTATTATTTCATCATACAACTTTATCTTTATTATTTCATCATACAACTTTATCTTTATTATTTGGCATTTGGCAGATCCTTCACAATATCTTTATAATTTTGAAAAATTTGTAACTGCTATCACTTAACTAGTTTAACCTTCGGGACTCATATTATAAGACGTATTGTACGCATAATCACATCAGATAACACGTAAGCTATATATAAATAGAATCTATATATATATATATTTTTTTTTTTTTTTTTTTTAAATGCAAAACAAACATGAACTGGCGTGAAGAATTAAATAGTATGAACTACTTATTTATGTGATTAGCAAAATGAAACCGACAACGGCTTCAGGAAAAAACCCACAGTATTGTCTGAAATTAACGAATATAAGACTTATAGGCATCAGACCTCCACCTGCCATTTGTTTTGATAGTTTCTATAAGACACCCATCTCTATACATCCCTGAAGCCCGCCCTATCCTAAAAGAATGAGACCTTATCTTGCTGTTATCCAGACCAATGAATTTAACAGCCTTTTTGAGAACAGCATTGAACTGGTAAGAAGTCAGAGGAGACCCATCAAAATGGCAAAAAAGGTGGTCAGTATTATTTTGGCACTGACGATAGTTAAGATAAGAGTGAATATTATCATAACAAAACTTGTTTTTTCCCTCAATTTCGATATCGAGAAATGTGCCACGACCTCTTTGATCAGTTTTCGAATGTTTCATGTATAAACGTATTTTGTCCGAACCCATAGTAATGTCATGTATTGACAGGAAATGATTTGATGACCTCTTGTTGCGTGAAGTGAATTCACTCACTCTAAGGAGTGCAATATATGCGAGTGAAAATGCAGCTGAAAATAGCATGTACTCGTACTGAGAGCGACAGACACTTTGTAACGCTGAAAATTAACTTTTTAATATGTCATCTGTTACAGGCTGACGTGTATCATTAGACCCTCTTGTTCGTCTTAAACCTTCAAGCATACGTTTCACCTTAAACTTTTTTGTGTTATCAACCATATCGTGAAGCTTAGTGACATAACTTATAGCAGATATGTAGCTATTTATTGTCTTATAGGCGTACTGTTGCAAGGACATGAAAGCTATATATTCTGTTATCTGATGCACTGTTGGAGGCCATTGCAGTGATACGCCTATCATACTACAAAAGTTTGAGAATGAAGATATTGCAGTGTTATATTGTTTATGAGTATTTTCTGCCAATGATACATAAATAAGTCTATCTATTTCTGGCTGAAGAGACGTAGAAAGGCCTTTGGTATACTGCATGGCTGTTTTGCTGCATTTTCTGGTAATTCCTGATACAGCCTTGCCCACTGAAAGCGACTTATAGAATCAGCGATTGTGTTTAACTTTGTGCTAACATGTTTACCTTTGAACTGAATATTATTTTGTAGTATGGAAAGCATTAAAGGTCTAATCAGATTCATAACTCGCTTGTTTTTTGACGATTTTTTATTCAAAATATGAACTAAAGACTCATTATCAGACCGAAACATAACCTTTTTGTTTTTCATTTCATTGCCCCATAACTCGAGAGCTAGAACAATAGGCACGAGTTCAAGATATGTAATGTCCCTAAAAATAAACTCCTCCCAGTGGGCTGGCCACTTAAAGGCACACCACTGACCTTTAAAGTAGCAGCCACAACCCAATTTTTTGTTGCCGGAGGCGTCAGTGTAGAGTTCAATAAATGTATTCTCTGACCAATTCTTCTCATTAAACATGGCGAGTCCGTTAAATTCAGAAAGGAATGTGAGCCAGGTCATGGCGTCATCGCGCATGTCCCTGTTTACACGTATAAAATGAAAAGATTTTTTAACCTTAGACATAGAATCATAAAATCTTCGCAAGAAAGCTCTACCAGTAGGAATAGCCTTTGTGATAAAGTTAAGTAAACCTACTATAGACTGAAGTTCCTTCAAAGTTATTTTTTTTGAAGATATAAGCCGCAAAAGTTCGTCTTTAGCTTTATTTATTTTTTCTGAGGGTACGTGAATAGTTTGATTCTCCGCATTTATTTCAAGCCCCAAGTAAGTAATAGTTTTTAAAGGACCTATCAACTTATCTGGACACAGAGGTACGCCAAGATCTGAACAAACGTGTTTGAATACATTAAAGAGTTCCAGACATGATTCAAAACTATCGTCTGCCATAAAAAAATCATCTAAGAGATGAGTCAAATTATTTTTACCAGATTCTTTTTTAACAAGCCATTCTAAAAAAGAAGCAAATTTTTCGAAAATGAAACAGGCACAGGCGGAACCCTGAGGTAACATTTTTTGCACCCAGTAACCCCCAGATCTGATTTAATACCAAGTAAGTCAAAGTCACCTGGCCAGACAGGACACAAGTTAAAAGCTGATTTTATATCAGCTTTGCAACATACTGCATTTTTTCCTATACGTTGAACAATTGATACTGCTTCGTCGAATTGTGCATACTTGACATGCCGATAATCTGGTTCGATAAATTCATTTACGCTGTTATTTGGCGGAAATGACAAATTTGTGATAAGTCTCCAGTCACCAGAGCGTTTTGGAACGAGCCCAACAGCATTAATTCGCAAATTTGAAATAGGTGGTTGCTTGAATGGTCCGACAATCCAGCCAAATGTTTTGTCCTCATATAATTTTTTATTTAAGACTCCTGGATTTTGTTTAGCTGACGCGAGATTATCCGAGAAAACTGATGCTCTTGGACCAGTATAATTTAATTTAAATCCATGTTTAAATCCAGATAATATAAAAGAAGCATCGTTTATATTGTAACCTGTCAATTGTTTTTTAAGGGTAATTATATTAATTGGTGTTAAACCTAGGCCCCATAAATCTTCTGTTTGAGGAGAACAAACTTGGTACTGGAACTGTGGGAACTGTGGGGGAGTTGCCGAGACTGAAACGATTAGGCCTAGTATTTAATCTCGAAGCATCTTGTGAATACGTAGGGCCCTGTCGTATCTGCTTACTATTAATTCTGCACTGTAATGCTGGGTGATTACCAGAGCATTTTATACACTTATGTGCAAAAGAACAATTTCTGTTGACACAAAAGCCCTTATTATTAAAAGGAAAACACTTTTTCGAGAAAGGGGAGGTAATCGAAAGACCAACCGACTGAATTGGTTGCATGGACAACATCCAGAGTTCTGGATCGATTGTCTCCTATCTTAAAGATTCGTTTACAGATTTTTTCAGCCTAAAGCTAGAGTCGTAGGCGGCCCAACCAATATGCCTGGTTGCTGCCTGTCGTATGTTTGCCATGTATTGTAGCAAATTGCCGATTTCATCAGGATGCTTTAGTATATATATAGCAATAAAGATATGAAAAGCATCTGTCCAAGATTCAATGTTTTCAAGACTTTTGGGCGATTGTTCATTGGGACATAGGATCAGCTCACCATTTTCAAATTGTATTTTTTGTTTTCCTGCAGAATCTGGTTTAACTTTAGGAAGCAGATGCTGTAATTCTATATAATTATTGCACCATATTTTCTCTTTGATAGATTGAGAAACATGGGCGGACAAAATAATGTTAGATTGAAAATTTACTTCACCTGAAGTTGGGGAAGAGTCATCAATTTGAACAACTTCTTGCCGTGGGTTCGGATTCGAGCCAGGTGTCCTCTGTGCTTGTCGTCTTTTCTCATTTACAGCACTGGCCAGTCTCACAGTTTCGTCCGCACGTCGTTTGGGCATTTTGATCAAGAAAAACAACAAATTGTCTTATTATAAACAGCCTATAATATTGCCAGTATATAGATTTTAATGATCAATTCTTATGTTTATACTATATTGATAATAAGGAATAGTATAAATGTATAGCCTTTTCGGATAAACCAGGCCACGTGGTTATTTTCCCATTTCGTTTATTTAAAATTAAATCAAAGCGAGATTTATAAAGGTTTATATAAGAAGAGCACTTCAATAGTTAACGTTTCTTATGTTTATACTATTGATAATTTGGAAAAGTTATAACTGTATTGTCCCTTTCGGATAATAGGGCCACGTGGTTATTTTCTATTTTTTCATTTAAAATTCAATAAAAAAAACGAGATTTATAAAGATTGACATATAAAGAGCACTTAAATAGTTAACGTTTAAAATAATAATTTAAACTTTACAATTAACATCCAAAAATTAAAACCTAATTTAAGATTTTTACAAAATATTAAAATATGATCAGCAGCTACCTTTCTCATAGAGTTCCAGAACGAAAAGGAAGCAGCGGGCTCGCGCAGCTCCTTATATATAGTGTTCTAAATATAGCTCCAAGACTGGGCATGCGTATTGATACGCAGTTCTACTGATCGATAAATTAAGAAATGTGTCATTCATGTAAAATAAAAGAGTTTAATCTTGAATGATTAAACTTTGATATTATACTTGTTTAATGTGATGTATTTTCTCATTATAAAATTGCATTTTAAGTTCTATTATCAACAAACAATTCAAAGGATAAGTACATGGTCTGAGTTACAAGTTTTCCATAACAATCTATAGTATTCAATGTAACTTAAGTTATGACAGTTTTTCATTCAGTATATATAATCATAGATTAACGACACTTTTGCAACTATCATGTTAAAGTGACTTTTAATGTGAATATATTGCTAATATTTTTGTACAGATGTAGTTGGTAAAATGATTGTCAAAAATGTAACTTACAACCCTTTTTCTGTTCAGCCTTCGAGATACTGTCTCAGAGAAATCTCATACAGAGACCAATTACAAAACGGATGTATTAGAAAACTTACTGTAGTTACCATCAGATGAAAAGCAAAAAATAAGTTTAATTTATTTTTATGAGTTACATCAAACTTTTATACCTTTTTACCCCCAAAACGAAGTTTGTGTGTGTGTGGGGGGGGGGTATATCCAGAGAAATTATAGAGTTATTGCCCTTTGTTACTTTTCCATTGGTTTTTTCTTGTCCAGAGCATAACTTGAAAACCACTAGTTGGAATTCAAAACACATTCTTACAATGGTCAAGCATAATAAGAGGAAGTGCAGTGCACAAGAACCATGGCTCTGTCAAAAGTAATTGTACAGTTATTCATTTTGTTACTTTTCCGTCGCATTTTTCTTGTATGGAGCATAACTTGAAAACCACTAGTTGAATTTCAATTCAACTTAAAACAATGGTCAAGCACATTGAGTGAAAGCGCAGTGCACAAGAACCATAGCTCCATCTTGACTAATTACAAAGTTATTGCCCTTCATTACTTTTTTCTTGTCCAGTGCATAACTTGAAAACTTACGGTTGAATGCAACTTCATGCAATGGTCAAGCACAATCAGAGGAAGTACAGTGCACAAGAACCATAACTCTATCCAGAGTAATTATAGAGTGATTGCCCTTTGTTACTTGTCCTTGTTGCAGAGCATAACATGAAATGTAGTGGTTGGAATTCAATACAAGTTTGTACAATGGTCAGGTATATTGAGAGGAAGAGCAGTGCACAGGGACATAACTCATTTTCAATGCAACTTCATGCAATGGTCAAGCACAATCAGAGGAAGTGCAGTGCACATGAACCATAACTCTATCCAGAGTAATTATAGAGTGATTGCACTTTGTTACTTTTCCTTTTTGCAGAGCATAACATGAAATGCATTGGTTGGAATTCAATACAAGTTTGTACAATGGTCAGGTATATTGAGAGGAAGCGCAGTGCACAGGGACATAACTCATTTTAGAGTTATTGCCCTTTGTTACTTTTTAGCTCACCTGAGCATGCTCAGGGTGAGCTTTTACGATCGATGATTGTCCGTCGTCCGTTCACATTTAGTTGTTAACACTCTAGCGGTCACATTTTTGCCTCAATCATCATCAAACTTGGTCAGGATGTTTATCTTGTTGATAGCTCGGATGAGTTCGAACATGGGTCATCTCGGATGAAAAACTAGGTCACAAGAGCTAAAAATAGAAAAACCTTGTTAACACTCTAGAGGTCACATTTTTGCCTCAATCATCATCAAACTTGGTCAGGATGTTTGTCTAGGTGATAGCTCGGATGAGTTCGAACATGGGTCATCTCGGATGAAAAAGTAGGTCACCGGAGCTAAAAATAGAAAAACCTTGTTAACACTCTAGCGATCGCATTTTTGCCTCAATCATCATCAAACTTGGTCAGGATGCATATCTATTTGATAGCTCGGATGAGTTCGAACATGGGTCATCTCGGATGAAAAACTAGGTCATCGGAGCTAAAAATAGAAAAACCTTGTTAACACTCTAGAGGTCACATTTTTGCCTCAATCATCATCAAACTTGGTCAGGATGTTTGTCTAGGTGATAGCTCGGATGAGTTCGAACATGGGTCATCTCGGATGAAAAAGTAGGTCACCGGAGCTAAAAATAGCAAAACCTTGTTAACATTCTAGCGATCGCATTTTTGCCTCAATCATCATCAAACTTGGTCAGGATGCTTATCTACTTGATAGCTCGGATGAGTTCGAACATGGGTCATCTCGGATGAAAAACTAAGTCATCGGAGCTAAAAATAGAAAAACCTTGTTAACACTCCAGCGGTCACATGTTTGCCTCAATCATCATCAAACTTGGTCAGGATGCTTATCTAGTTGATAGCTCGGATGAGTTCGAACATGGGTCACCTCGGATGAAAAAATAAGTCACAAGAGTTAAAAATAGAAAAACCTTGTTTACACTCTAGAGGTCACAATTTTGCCTCAATCATCATCAAACTTGGTCAGAATGTTTGTCTAGGTGATAGCTAGAATGAGTTTGAACATGGCTCATCTCGGATGAAAAACTAGGTCACCGGAGCTAAAAATAGAAAAACCTTGTTAACACTCTAGCGGTCACATTTTTGCATCAATCATCATCAAACTTGGTCAGGAGGCTTGTCTAGGTGATAGCTCAGATGAGTATGAATATGGGTCATCTCGGATGAAAAACTAGGTCACCGGAGCTAAAAATAGAAAAACCTTGTTAACACTCCAGCGGTCACATTTTTGCCTGAATCATCATCAAACTTGGTCAGGATGCTTGTCTCGGTGATAGCTTGGATGAGTGCGAACATGGGTCACCTCGGATGAAAAAGTAAGTCACCGGAGCTAAAAATAGAAAAACCTTGTTAACACTCTAGCGGTCACATTTTTGCATCAATCATCATCAAACTTGGTCAGGATGCTTGTCTAGGTGATAGCTTGGATGAGTTCGAACATGGGTCATCTCAGATGAAAAACTAGGTCACAGGAGCTAAAAATAGAAAAACCTTGTTAACACTCTAGCGGTCACATTTTTGCATCAATCATCATCAAACTTGGTCAGGATGCTTGTCTAGGTGATAGCTTGGATGAGTTCGAATATGGGTCATCTCGGATGAAAAACTAGGTCACCAGAGCTAAAAATAGAAAAACCTTGTTAACACTCTAGCGGTCACACTTTTGCATCAATCATCATCAAACTTGGTCAGGATGTTTGTCTAGGTGATAGCTTGGATGAGTTCGAACATAGGTCATCTCAGATGAAAAACTAGGTCACAAGAGCTGAAAATAGAAAACTCTTGTTAACACTCTAGCGGTCACATTTTTGACACAAGTGTCATCAAACTTTATCAGGATGATTGTCTAGGTACTTGCTCGAATGAGTTCGAACATGAGTCATCTCGGATGAAAAAGTAGGTCACCGGAGCTAAAAATAGAAAAACCTTGTTAACACTCTAGTGGTAACAATTTTGACTCAATTGTCATCAAACTTGGTCAGGAAACTTGTCTGGGTGATTGCTGGAAATAAATCAAACATGGGTCATCTCGGATGAAAAACTAGGTCACCGGAGCTAAAAATAGAAAAATCTTGTTAACACTCTAGTGGCTACTGTTTTGATCCAAATATCCTGTAAATTGGTCTGAAAGTTTGTTTTGATGATTTCTAAGTCAAGTTCGAACATGGGTCATCTTGGATGAAAAACTAGGTCACACCGCCCAAATAGGGAAAAACCTTGTTAACATTCTAGTGGTCACATTTTCGACTCAATTATCATCAAACTTGGTCAGGATGCTTGTCTAGGTAATCGAAATCGCATTTGAAACTAGGTCACCGGAGCTAAAAATAGAAAAATCTTGTTAACACTCTAGTTGCTACTGTTTTGATCCAAGTATCCTTGAAATTGGTCTGAAAGTTTGTTTTGATGATTTCTAGGTCAAGTTTGAATCTGGGTAAAAAACAAGGTCACACTGCTCAAATATGGATAATCCTTGTTAACACTGTAGTGGTCACATTTTTGACTCACCTGTCATGAGACTTGGTCAGAATGCTTGTCAAGGTAATTGATTGGATGAGTTTGATGGGTCAGGTGAGCGATCTAGGGCCATCATGGCCCTCTTGTTATTGTCCAGTTCTTAACTTGAAAATTAATGGTTGGAATTCAATGCAACTTTATACAATGGAATGAAGTGCAGTGCTCAAGAACCATAACTCTTTTTGGACTCTTTTTGGATTAATTAAATAGTTATTGTCCTTTGTTACTTTTTTGTCCAGAGCATTACATGAAAACTAATTGGAATTCAATTCAACTTCATACAATGGTCAAGGGCAATGAGAGGAAGTGCAGTGCACAATAACCATAACTCCATCTTCAGTATTTGCAGAGTTATTGACCTTTGTTCCTTTTCCTTGTCCGGTGCATAACTTAAAAACAGATGTTTGGAGTTCAATGCAACTTCATACAATGGACAAGCACAATGACAGGAAGTGCAGTGCTCCTATCTGGACTTCTTACAGAGTAGGCCTAATTCAATAACACTTTGTCAATGGTCAACCAAAAGTGAAAGGGAATGCAACGTACAAGAACCACAACTATCTTTAATTGCCCACAACAATTCTTTTACAAGGTATTCTGTTACTAGTAACTTCCTCGTTTCCGAAGTAATCTTGCCGGGGTATTAATCACATTTAGTGATAGCTCTAGTTTTAAGATTATTTTTTCATTATCCTTTTCCATATGTGGATGTCGGTCGAAGGTACATCCTACCCCCCTTCTTAAATGTATATATTAAAAAATAAACAGCTAAGTGTAATATGCAAACAAAAAATAAAATGACCAAGCAACAAAATACACTGCTATAATCTATTGAAACGATTAGTATTATGAACAAGGCATGCCTACGGGCAGAATGTTGAGCCCCGCTCGTCTTAAATCAGACCTGGACCTATTAGCTTCAGATCATGGAGAAACATACATGTATTCATAGAAACATCCTTTATTCTTTGAACAGTTTGAAGAGTTTATTGAAAATGCTCTTAGAGGCATCGGTCACATACACAATAATATATACATATAATATGACATATGATTAAGAGATATCCACGAAATATACTAATGTACTACATGGCAAATATAAATCAAAAATGAA